CATTCTTGAAGCAAAGTTTTGCCTGAATGATGATTAGATTCACTGTTTTGGATCGCTGCATTTAAACTGAGAATATGCATGTACAGAATGACCCTTCCTGTATGATAGAGTAAACAGTAATGGCACGTGCAGTGGCAGCCTCCCCCAGGTCCTAATGCCCACTCAGTAAGGAGTTTTAATTCCGTAGGGGGTGCTGTTGGCCTACTTCTAATAAAATGCAAGCAAAATACACATATAATATTTAGACTGTGTTTCTGATTAGTGTTTGTGTGTGAGTCTGTGTGTGTGTGTGTGTATGAGTGACAGATTCCTGCTTCCAGTCATAAATACATCGATCTAGCTTTGGTCAAAAAAAGTGATTTATCAAATGTGGTAAATACAATAAATGTTCTGTATGTTTATTTGTATTTTATGTATTGTATTGCTGAGATGCCATGTTTTAATATAGCACAAACTGATTGCTGATCTACAGTATGTAATAATAATTTTGTCTCGTTTTTCTCCTGTAGTCTCAGAGAGATCCGGATTATGTGAACATTATGAAGACGTGACTGTGAACCTGGATCAACTTTAATATCAGTTTCTTTAATATCTTCCATTGGCCACAAATTCAACACAGAAAATTATTCCATAATTAAGAGATTATTCAAAGCTGTATTCATTAAACAAAATATCCTGGTGAATTAATAAGGAACTTACATATCTAATATATTACTGGGTAACACTTTAGTTTAGCGACCAATTCCCACTATATTTACTAGTTGCTTAGTAGCATGCATATTGGCTGTTTATTAGTTTAGTAGTAGTAGTAGTAGAATTATTAGTAGTAGTAGTAATAGTACTTGTAAAGCACATATTCTACATTCCTAATCCTACCCAATACCTAAACTTAACAACTACCTTCCTAACTATTAATAAGAGTTTATTGAGGCAAAAGTCATAGTTAATGGTTTGTTTATAGCAAGAATTGGACCTTAAAATAAAGTGTGACCAATGTTCTAAAGTTTGGGGTTGGTAAGATTTTTTAATGTTTCTGAAAGTTATTTCTGCTCACCAAGGCTGCATTAATTGATCAAAAATACAGTAAAAATTGTAAAATATTATTAGAATTTAAATCAGCAGTTTTCTATGTGAATATCTGTTAAACTGTAATGTATTTCTGTGATGCGCAGCTGTATTTTCAGCATCATTACTCCAGTCTTCAGTGTCACATGATCTTCAGAAATCATTCTAAGATGCCGATTTGCTGCTCAACAAACATTTCTGATTATTATCAATGTTGAAAACAGTTGTGCTGCTCAATATTTCTGTGGAAACTGATACATTTTATTTTTCAGGATTCACAGATGAAGAGAAAGTTCAAAAGAACAGCATTTATTTGAAATAAACATGAAGGTATTAATATTACAGCAAACAGTGAGTGATTGTAAACAGAAATGTAATGCTGATGTAAAGCAGATACGGATGCATGCTCACTGAAACCTTGAGTAGATATGAATGTGACAATCAACTGTAAAAAAGCTTGTACATTTCACAAATAAATATAAAGAAATGGCAGGAAATATGTATATATTTCAGAAAAATATGTTATGTTTATATATTAAATATATTTTTATATAATATAAATGATATGAATATAAATATATACATGTAAATGTTTTCAAAATATATACTGTATGTGTGTTTATACATAATAAATATACACAGTACACACACATGTATTATGTATACGAAAACTTTTATTTTGGATGCGATTAATCGTTTGACAGCACTAATATGTATATATATATATGAAGAGTTCAGTTAAACTTTTCTTCTAAAATGAGCATTGTTATCAGACTCCTTTAGCATCTGAACTCTTTATATATATTTACATTTACATTTAGCAGATGCTTTTATCCAAATACAAATGAGTATATATAATGTGTGTGTGTGTGTGTGTATGTATATATATATATATATATATATACAGTATATATATTAAATGCACTAGATGTTAAAAATGTCACTAGAGTCCTAAGTGGTTGCTAGGGTGTTACTACGTGATTACCCATGTGTTTTGTGTGGTAGCAGCTTTTCATGATTTGATAAACTTGGTTTAAACTGTATTTGGCATTTAAATAAGTCAGCTATTGTTAGCCAAGATAAACGGTTCAAATGTGCCATAAAATTAAATTTGAACTCTTTAGTCATCACATCAAAGCACAACAGCTCTGCATGGACCCGCATCAGCTGAGAGTGAGCCGAAGCTCTCTAGAGTCATGAGTCTGATCCTGGGTCAGCCTGACAGAGTCTGAATGACATGAGACTGAGTTCCAGCGGGTTTGGTGAGTGTGGGAACCGGCTCCAGGTGGCCGCTGGGGTTTGTGAGTGACAGCTGGCCGTGTTCCTCCGGGAGATCCGGCGCTTCTCATTATCTGCTCTCTGTTTAGTCCCTCCTTCCATTGAGTCTCCTGAGCTCCGGCCACCTCGCTCTCTCTCTGGTCTCTGTTCTCTGTTCGGAGGCAGTAATGATGGAGGATGCACAGATGGTTCGGAGCGGGGCTCTGGATCTACCTGTGCGGACAGCTGGTGACGTCCCATTAACACTTAAAGAGAGGTCTGCCACTGTCACCTGAGCACCGGGAGGGTCTTGGCAGCCCGCATCAAAACAGCAATCAGGAAAAAGAGAGCGAGAGGAAATATGTGCTATATGCTCTTTCTGCACGCAGTGATTGGACTGCTGGAGCGTCACCGACACAATCATGACTCAAAGTCACCATGAAATGAAGGATCTTTTCTTCTGCATTGTAAATGTAGGGCAGGGTTTGGTTCTGTATTTCAGTTGTTGATTGGATGTTGAGATGTGGGTGTGGCACTCAGAGCTCGAAGGGGCGGAGTTTAACAGCACTAAATGATTGGAGAAGTCCTGCACAATGCACATGTAACCAGAGAGAAGACTGATGCTTCACTGGAAGATCGAGTTAATATTTGGATTAAACATTTCCAAGTCAAAACATTAAAAAAAAACGTACATGGATGAATTGTTCTCAATAAGATCTATAAGATACATTTAGAAAGTAGATACTGTGAATTTTCATTTCATGCCAACTTAAAGGAATAGTTCATCCAGAAATGAAAATGTGCTCCTCCTCAGATCACCTCAGATCATGAGTTTGTTTCTTCATCAGATTTGGAGAAATGTAGCATTGCATCAGTGTCTCAGCAATGGATGCTCTGCAGTGAATGGGTGCCGTCAGAATGAGAGTCCAAACAGCTGATAAAAACATCACAATAATCCACAAGTAATCCATAATAACGCTTCCTCCAGTGAAAAGGTGTTCTGGTCTGAATCAGGAGAGAAATCTGCACAGATCAAGCAGTTTAAACACATATGTGGCTGGATTTTGATGTGAGACACAACAGCAGATGCACTTTTTAACTGCAGGAAGAGTTATTATGGATTATGGACTCTATGGTATTTTAGTTAAAAACGTCTTAATGCTGGATTAGTTTACGCTTTTGTCTTCTCCAGATGTTAACTGATGGACTGGAGTGCTGTGGATTACTTGTGGATTATTGTGATGTTTTTGTCAGCTGTTTGGATTAGGGTTGCACGATATATCGTTAAAGCATCGATGAACTTTGTGTCAGCACGTTGTAAATAGAACGAGGCAGCTGTTTACTGTCGGTGATTTATTGTGTCGTGCCGCATCTGTAGACAGTATCGCTGATTATAATGGGTTCAGTCATCCTGATCTCGGATGGCCTGAGAGTAAGCACAGTTTCTGCAAACGTTCATTTTCAGATAAATTATTCCTTTAAAGGAAAGCTTTCTAGCTGTCTTTCCTCACACTGTTTGTGGTATCATTCACATCTGTATCACGAACGAGTTACACGTAACAGTTTAGTACTTTTATCGTGAGCAAACTGTGGTAAAAATAATTAAAAGTCTAAGTCAACGCAGGGGCAGTGTGAATGTGTTCATCTCTCTTGTCTCAACACAACTCTCCTCCCTCAGACACGAATGACCAGATGAGAGCGTGTTTTAGAAAGGCTTAAATAACGCTAATTAAGGATAAATGGTGTGTGACCCTCAGTAACCTGTGAGACGCGAGGGAGTGTGAGTGTGTAGCAGACGAGCGAGACTCGAGGAGACTGTCCTCATTCACACATCAGCATGAAGAGCCTCGAAAAAACAGAAATTCCTCTGCTAGGATAAAGGGACTAAATTCAAGATTTCTGGCTTCTTTGTATGAATGCACGTTCTGTCTGGTCACTGGAGTGTGAGTGAAGTCATCCAGACGTTTCCTCAGGACTCCTCATCAACCACCAGCCAAACATCCCATAATAAGCAGAACACACACCATTGGAGACACTTATGAAACAGGAAATATGATTCAGCATCTGCTAAATGTTTTTCCTGCACTGCTAAATCAGGAGCGCGCCGGTGCTTTCTGCTGTGAAGAAACAACCATCATTTCTCTTAAAGGTCCCATGGCATGAAAATTTCACTTTATGAGGTTTTTTAACATTAATATGAGTTCCCCTAGCCTGCCTATGGTCCCCCAGTGGCTAGAAATGGCGATAGGTGTAAACCGAGCCCTGGGTATCCTGCTTCGCCTTTGAGAAAATGAAAGCTCAGATGGCCCAATCTGGAATCTTCCCTTTATGTCGTCATACGGGGAAAGGTTACCTCCCCTTTCTCTGCTTTGCCCGCCCAGAGAATTTGGCCCGCCCATGAGAAAATGAGCTACTACCGTGCGAGGCGAGCGCAATATTTTTTTTTCCTCGAGAGACATCATGGCTTGCAAACGAGCGAAGCATGGCAGTTGCCCCGCCTCTCTCCTCCTCATTAGCATTTAAAGCTACAGACACAGAAATGGCACGTCCTAAGGAAAGCTCATTGTGGGACTGGCTCGTAGTGGCTGAAATTCTGCACCAAGGCTGAATTTCGGGAAAGAGACTTCAGATACAGTACTAGGGACCACTTAGGCCTATATAAAAGCATCCAAAAAGCAGCATGTCATGGGACCTTTAAAGGAAGGTCAATTATAAAGATTTAACCAGCCGCTGCTTAAAGTTTAATGCAGCACACGTCTGTTTTATTAACAAAATAACCTGTAAATTTACATCACGGGTGAATAAAATTGAGACTTTAATCTCATAATAAAATACTTTTTACTTCTCTAAGTGGTTAGACATAACTTTCTATGGAAGTCCATTTCCATAACAAAATAAAAATCAAATAAATAAAACAGGTAATTGCCACTTTTATCTCAAAGTTTTGACTTAGTTTCCTCATAATTTTGAGGGGTAAAAATAAATAGTCACAATACTTGTTTTTGACTTTTTGGTGGGAAAAAAAAACAGAATTGTGAGATGTAAACTCAAGAAAAAAGTTTGTATTGTGAGATAAAAAGTCGCATTTACCTTATGTTTATGTTTTATTTTGTGGTGAAGACAATAACAGCATCAAAGAATTGTGAGATTTTTGAAATGGCTGAAAAAAAGTCAGAACTCACACACACACACACACACACACACACACACACACACAGAATTGTGAGAAAAAGTCACGTTTTCTACTTCTTTATTTCGTCATTAAAGTAGACTTCTACAATTCCCCCTGGCAGATGATAAATTTGGTCTAAATACACTCTTAAAAATAAAGGTGCTTCATCATGCTATAGAAGAACCTTTTTGTCTAAATGGTTCCATAAAGAACCTTTAACATCTGAAGAAC